TGCACGAACTTTCTACCACAACATGTGCCTTGCTCTCCCGAGGACAAGTATTAACTTTTAAATAATATTCACGCACACAGACGCATGCCCTGCACGCATAGTTACAAACAGACAAGCGATTACATGAAATAAAAAATAAAATCCAAAAGGGTGGTATTTCTATTTGTAAAAGAAAAATCAAAAGAAGAAAGAAAAAAATTATAAAAGAAAAAAAAAAAAGGCTGGGCATGGTAGCACATGCCTGTGATCCCAGCCCTTGGGAAGCTGAGGCAGGAGGATTGCCATAAGTTCCAGGTCCAGCCTGGGCTAGAGTGAGCTGCTGCCTCAAGTAAAAAACAAAAGAAAGAAACCAAAAACCACAAACAAACAAGAAAAAACACTATTAAGGAAGTCACAATATTGGTCATGGTTTTCATATTCCCACCTCAGTCCTGCCCCCACCCTCACCCCTTAAATTGGGGGACAGGACTCCCTGGTGCTCATCCACCACCCCAGCTCTGAGGGGTCCCCAAGTTCCCTGCCTGGGGATAGGGCTCTCAGGCCCTTCCCCTCCAACCCTCCCATCCCAGGGAAAGCCTAGGGGGGCGTCCCTTCCTCTGTCTTCCAGCCAACCCACAAAGCTGAATATATGCAATATCCGTCTGTCTGTCTGTCTGTGGGTCGAGCTTAGCTGTGGGGCGTCCCAGCCAGGGCATGGGGGTGGCAGGGACATGGTGGACTCTGTCCTGCTGCTGGGAAGGCCATTGTCATGTCCATGATTTCAGTTTTTCTTTTCCTTTTTGGTTTTGTTGTTTATGGTTGCCTTTGGGATTTTTGTTTTTCTGTCTTGTGTTAACTCTGCTCTTAAAACTTCACCAAAGCTAAGACAATAGCCAGGGGCTAGTGTGGCAGACAGGAGTCCCGACTCTAAGCCATCCCCCTGCCTCTTCCGACCCCTACTGGCCCACCTCACCACCCACCCAGGCTTGGGCAGGGCCATCAGTTGTCCCTGTGGCTGACTTCTGGCTTTTCATTTCCTTCCCCAGTCTGTGTACTCCACCCCCAGAAAGTAGGTAGTCCACGGGGCGGTAGGAGGAGATGTTGGCACCACCATCCCTCAGGTACTATCAACACTGGTTGGGTAGGGACTGCTAGACAGAAGGTCCTGGAGGCAGGTTGGGAGGAACTGCTCAGATCCCCAACTCCTGCTTCTCAGAAAACCTCCAATTCCCACCCAGGTACCTGGGGACCCACACTGGCCAGGATTCTCAGATGAGTGACTTTAGGGTGGGACAGGGTGTTGAGAATTTTGGCTTTGTTTTCTCTATGTGAAAGTAGCATTTTTCAAACCCATCCCCTCAGGCCACCATCCCTTGCCTATCCCCTAACCTGGCATCATGAGTTGGCAAGCCCCCACAGCTTACCGCTTGGGGTCTAACCTGTGACCCTGTTTCCCAACTGGGGACCAGAAGACATCTGGTTCCTGAGCCCTGATGTCTTGAGCTTGATAACCAGGAATGCCCAGGGTGTCAGGAATGATATCAGGAAGGTAGGCTTTATCCCAGCTCCCCTCAAAGACAGGGCCAGGGTCACCTAACTCCCTCCCTCTGGGGCCTAATGTGTGTCCCCAGGCCACCAGCAAATGTCCCAGCCAAAGTGCAGGGGCTCAGGTTGGCTATGTTGCATATACATAAACACATTTAGTTGGGAGTTAATCCCCACAGAGATGAACACATTATCTTTGTCTCTCTGTTCCAATTGTCCCCAAACACTGAGTGGGTTGTCCCTTCTGCGTGCTGGGTCCCAGGTCCAGACACTTATTCTCCCCACTGATTGTTTTGTTATCTTGAAACAGGAGGGTCTTACCAGGTAGCCCAGGCTGGCCTCCAACTCATGGCAATCCTCCTGCCTCTGTTTTCCAGTTGCTCTGACAACAGGCATGCACCACCACTCCTGATGTCCTACCCCTCTCCTTTACAAGTGCCCAGGCCTCAGATCCCACTTGTCAGTGGTGTCCTCTTCCCTCTGTCCATTTGTCCAACAGGCACAGGGCTTGGGACTGTCACCCATCACAAGGATGAGGTGGGAGGAGGACTCACATTGAGTCGCCAACCCTGTATCTGTGATACCAAGCAGTCACTTCCCAGGCAGTGCCTCACACATCTGATGGTGCAGTTCTGGGGTTCTCCCCTGCCTCCCCTCAGTCTCCACCCCTGCTCCCCTCAGACTTGGGACAGGAAACAGCAGGTATGCTGAGAAGTAGGAAGGTGTGC